AACCAAATATCAAAACTTTCCCCTATTTGACGTTTTTAATTAGGTACCATTTGACTAGATTACAGCGCAACTAGTCTGAGAACAATGCAGAGAGCGATGGAACGTGCATTGCTTGAAATTTGGTTTGGAGAGAGGATCCATGATGAGGACATAAGAAAGCGAACAAAAGTAGCCGATATAATCCAACACATATCCGAGATAAAATGGAGATGAACAGAGCATGTGACAAGACAGAATGACAAAAGATGAACCAGTAAAGTAATGAATTGGCACTGCAGAGAAACAAAGAGAGATAGAGGGGGACCACAGAGGCGCTGGATGGATGACATGAGAGAAGTCCCCTGCAGCAGCTGGGTACAAGTCCACAATCGACAAGAATGTAAGAGACTCGGACAGTCTTAGAAGTGAACGGAGAAAAGCTGATGAAGAAGATAAGAAGAATAGAACCTCCTGTAGAACCCACTAAAAACTCCACGTAGTAATAAATGGAATTGCTTTGCCTTGAGAAGTGTGAGTTGAATTGATGGCAATGTCGAGGACAAAACCTATGATGTTTGCTTAGAATTCTTTAACTACAAGAAGAAAGTTTAAGATGATATGGCAACGCACACGTCTAAGCTCAAGAACCTGTGGAATGAGCTACAAAAGGAGTTATCAAAAGAAAAAATCATTACAAATAAAAGATGTTATTGTGTTACCTGAGTTGCTGTTAGTCTGTAAGATTTTAGAAATTCTACCCCAAGACTCCGTCAAGTCAAGCTGGAAGTTAATGTCGAAATCTGACAGGACTATAGACAATTTAACAAATCAACTTTGTTCTCATGAGAAGGCATTATCAGACAAGAATAATGAAAGTCATCAGGAGGCGTTACTTGCAGAAAAGAGAAGTAGCTTGACCATTAAGAGAAAACTAGTTTGGAATTATTGCAAAAGAGAAGGTCATATATAAGGTCAAACAATGTATTAAATGGAAAGAACATGGTAGACCTCCAAAACCGAAAAGCTCAAATTCAAGAAATAACAGAACACAAAAAAAATAAGAAAACAAACATGATGTGAGTTGCCTTAGCAAATAGTGTCTTATTTAGCGGATGTAAAGAGAATAGCTGGTTTATGGATAATAGGGCTATACAAGTCATATTACAAATCAAGGTGATATCTTTGAAACATTTGAATAATATAGACAGCGAATGGAGAAACGGCTAGAGCAGTTGGGAAAGGAAACATTCTGGTGCCAACCAAAGTTCAAGACAGAGAAGATGTTTTGACGTTATCACACGTATGGTACGTTCCTCTGATTAAAAATAATTTATTTTCGGTTTAACATGCATAAGATTCATAGCCTACATCAAAGTTTAAGCACTTAGAATGCAGTTTTATAGTTGATGGTGAAACCATACTGACAGGTGAAAGAAGTAGATTTGGAGGACTGTACAAACTAGCATTGCAGATCATAAAGCCAAAGGAAATAGCTCAAATCAACATAGTTTCAAATGATTACTTATTGCAACTTGCAACTATACCATGAACGCTTTGGTCATCAAAACAAACGACAACTCACAGATATTTTGAGTCGTGAGCTTGACCTCAAAGTGACCTTAGACAACGAAATATGTGAGGGTTGTATTTATGGTAAAATGCACAGGAAAAAGTTTGGAACGAGAGAAAGAGCAAAGGAGAACTCTTACACACAGATGTTTGTGGGCCTTTTGAAAAATCCAAGTGGCTATCCTACTTCGTGCTCTTCAAGCATGATTTCAGTCGTTATCGTTATGTCTACTTTCTAAAAGAAAAATCTGAAGTTGCCGAAAAACTGACAATTATGTTAACGGAAATATAAACAGTAGGACATGCAGTAAAAGAGCTACTCTCAGATAATGGTGGAGAATTTGACAATGGTCAAGTAAGAAAAATTCTACAAAAAAGTGAAATCAAACAGAAACTCGTAATGCCTTATACACCAGAGCATAATGGTTGTGCAGAGCGAGATAATCGTACTATCGTTGAAACTGTCTAGATCCATCATTCATACTAATGAAGATCTTTCAGAATTTTTCTGGGCTGAAAAAATAAATACATCGTCGTACATTTTGAATAGGAGTGGTGATTCTAGTATCGAAGGAAAATCTCCATTTGAACTGCGGTATGATAAAAAGCCTTCTTTAAAACACATGAGAATTATTGGAACATCCTGTTATGCCCATGTAACAAAGTCAGGAAGAAAAAAAATTGATAAAAAGGCAGGAAAAGGCATACTTATAGGATATGACCAAGATGATGGATCTCGGATTTGGTGTGAAGAATTTGAGAAGCTAGTCAGATCGAGAGATGTGAAATTCGACGAGAAACTCATAACTTCAACGTTGCCATTGTTGGAACTTCTCAGCAAAAAAAATGTAAGATTGTCGGAAGCAGGGAAGGTACTCTACAGCAAGGAACTAAAAAATACAATGGACGAGATGGCGAAGAAGATGATATTCTGGGGAATCACAGTTTTTCTGACCCTCGTTCTGACATCGTCAAACAGACGGTAACCATGAATTTACTGTCAAACTAGAGGCACCAAGAACCTCATTATATCAGAATTCATATCTCTGGAGAACAGCATCGCTGTGGAATAAACTCCCTTTGACGGTTTTCCCTGCAGGTTACAACCTGAACCGTTTCAAGACCAACATACACCGACATTTCCGCGCACTTGCCGCTTCTCGAGCGTGATAGGACATTTCCTTGCGAGTGCGCATATCCGTAAAAAAAAAAAAAAAAAAATCTTAATCTGTGGTAGAATCACCAGATAATGACATTTCAGAAAAAGTCTCAAATGTACCGAGTACATAACTGAGAGATAGAAATCAGATACAAAAGCCTGCCAGGTTTGAAAATTTCGCTAGCTATATAGATAAATTCAAAGCCAGACTAGTCGCAAAAGGTTATTCTTAGTTGCTAGATTTGCTACAATACGATCTGCTTTGAGTCTATCTGCCAGTGAAAATTTAAGTCTAAGCCATTTTGATGTATGTACAGGATTTCTTTATGGCGAGCTTCAAGAAGAAGTATGCATGAAACAACCAAAGGGTTTCAATGATGGGTTTGTCATCTAAGGAAGAGTCTATATAGACTTAAGCAAGCTCCTAGGTGTTGGAACAGAAGAAAAACGAATTTCATTCTATGCTTTGGTTTCTAACAGAGCGATGCCGATCCATGTCTTTTCATCAGGAGGGAAGGAACAGACATTCTTATTTTAGTTTTATATGTGGACGATGGTCTACTAGCCTCAAGCAATAAGGAAATGAAAAAATATTTTCTATGACAACTACAGATAGAGTTTAGAGTCACGATAAAGTCTGCATCATATTTTTTCGATATGGAAATCATCAAGTCGAAGGATGGATCAGTTATTATAAATCAAAATGCATATACCAAGAAATTGTTGAAAAAATTTGGCATGAACAATTGCAGACCCGTTAAAACTTCAATTGTTGGATAATTATCCTTCAGAAAAAGCCGAAATATCAAATTTTTCATATACAGAGGCAGTTGGAGCATTACTTTACCTGATGTCAGGATCAAGACCAGACATTTCATACGCAGTCAGTGTGGCGTCAAGACGTTTGGAAAATCCAACTCACAAAGACTTTATCCAAGTAAAGAGAATTTTCTGTTACATTCAAGGACCACTCAATTACTTACAGGCCAAGAACCAGAAGACGTTACCTACAAGGTTTCAGTGATGCTGATCATGAAGGGGATATAAAAACAGGACGCTCTACAACAGGAGTGGTATGTGTTTATGCTGGAGGTGCTATATCCTGGATGAGTCAGAGATAACCTTCAGTTGCCATTCCTACAACCGAAGCGGAGATCGTTACAGCTAGCGAAGCTTCAAAAGAACTTGTATGGTTGAAAAGATTATATGAAGAAATAATAACACTGAAAGAAATTGGGGAGTTTTTAGTTGACAACGAAGCAGCTATTCGTTTCTTACTAAATCCTGAAAACCACAAGACAACCAAGCACATTCAGATTCGACATTTCTATGTCTTAGGAGAAACTTTGAGTGTACACAAAACGTCTACAGAAACTCAAGTTGCTGATATAATGACAAAAGCCTTGTTTAAACCAAGACATAACATTTTATGTGACAATATGGGCCTAACCAAGATTCCTAATGAGGGAAGGTGTTGAAGAACACTCTACATCTTTATGGAAGTCTTAAGAGTCATTTATTTTTTTATTTTTTAAAAATGTATATGTCAGAGGGTTATTTAATTAATCACACTAATTAATCACTTTTGTATAAGTGTGTCATTGCTTCTATGTCCTAACTTCATTAAGCATAAAATTTAAGTTGCTTTCAAAATAAATTTCTAGATAAAAGTGTTTTAGATATTTTACTTTTATGTCACAACTATTCATTTCAAATAAAATTCAACTTGTTTTTATTATAGAAAAACTCGTGTCTGCGCATAGTTGATAATTCTCTAGAGTTTCGTCGTACTTTTTTGCTTCTTGCCTAACAACTTGGAAGGCAACTTGAATTATATATTCGATGGAGGTGAGATATTGAATGTGAACTAAGGCGAAACACTTTATTTAGAAATCTCCTTAAAAGACAATGCTATACACAATAAAATTAACACATACAAGTGAAATATCAGACAAAAATACATCATTAGTAAGGCGATTTTATACCAGCAAGAAAAGTCTGATGATTAGGTAGTAAGATACTTTGTACCAAATACAAAGATTGTTTTCACAAGATTACATCGACATTAATGCTTTCAACTTAAAAGTATCGAGGAAAAAAATAATCAGCTCGATAATTGGTCGTCCAATGGTAGAATTTAAAAAAAAAATTATTAACGCAATATGCGCATTACAAAAACATGTATTGTTGTAAATTCTAAACGTTCCATAATAAAAGAATGCATTATGAACGCACTCTTAGGTTCTTATTGGCACAAACGTATTTCAATTATTTATTTATGAATTTATTTTAGTTTTGGTTCACCTCAAGTCCCAGTGGCGGAACTCCTATCTCGCCCGGTACCAACTCTTCTCAGTCCTCAACAAACCAGACCAAAGTCAAGCAACTTTCTCCAAGTGCCGGACATCGAAAGTCCAAGACCCAAGAGTGTGCCCAGCTCTCCAATGGTTAAAAGAGCGTTCACAAGATTGGGTACGATCACTGCTGGCTGGGGACGTTCGATACGAAAGCATAATGCTCAACAGTTGTCGGCCGATGATAAAAAGAAATGGGCGAGTAGTCAGGATTGCTCCAGTAAGCTTGGTTTGTTTTATTAATAGCTTTATGTTTGCAATCTCGAGCGAAAGTTCTAGCTCATTAATAATTGGCACACAGCTCCAACTTTGTTGCATGAAATTATCTGCAGGAACTCTTTAATAAAATACCCTTTTTGACTATAAGCATAGACTCTATTTTTCCCAGGAAAAACTGAGTTAGTTTACGTCATAAATATTATCTGACATTTTTCAAATGAGGCTCCACAAACACAACACACTCATAAACATTTTCTATGGAGAATAGGAGATAGAAAACAAATATATGTCATGAAAAACAAAATAGTAACAATTATTCTAGAATGCAAGTTACGATCGTTAATTAATTATTAACATTGAACTTCTTTTTAGATAAAGAAGGTAAAGACAAGGAGGGTAGAGAAAAATGCCCCTCTCAGCTACCAGTGCCAAGACTAAGCGTTTGCGCGGACGCTCAGAAAGTAGACAGGGCAAAGCTTGCGCAGACTGAATTTTCTATTATTGAATTTGACTCTGATACATTTAGGATATTATTAGATTATCTACACACAGGATCGTGTCCTCTAACATGCTCGACAATACCAGGTTTAATATGCGCAGCAGAACATTACGACTTACCAGATCTTTTGCAGGCCTGTTTCCATCACGCCAAGCAATTCTTACGTATCGAAGTGGTGTGTAGCTAATTACTAATACCTACTCTTAATAAATACAATTTTTTTATAGGTATGTTGTATGTTATGTTCTCTGGAAAACTATTATTGGCGATACACGTCAGCCTCAGAATTGGTCAACATGATTTTGGCTTTTGTTGAAACCAGAGCTTACGCTTTATTTCAATCAGCTGAATTTTTAAATTTGAGCGAATCTATGGTTCAAATGATTATGTGTAGGAATCTGGAAATTCCGGAAATCAGGAAATTCGAATCGATGCTGTCATGGGCGCGTCACAAAATCCGTACAAAGACTTCGAGTAAACTAGATGCCAAGTTAGAGTTTAAGTGTATTATGGAACGTTTGGCACGGGATTTGAAATTGTATAGAATATCGCCACAGGAACTGATAAAGGTGATTTATTAACTGCTGAAAAAAGTTATCAATACTTTATAACATCGATTTTAGGTTGTTCTGCCTTCAAAAGCGATCAAAAACGAACGGATACTAGAAACATTGATGTTCCAAGCAAACTCTGGCATGTACAGAATACAAGACTCTTACATAAAGGAATGTACTCAAAGACTGCAGAAACAAGACTCTCGTTTTTCGGAATGGGAATCGTTCGACTACGGCACTTAGATTTATATTTTCTTAGATGACAATCACTGCATACAAACAAAAATAAGCAAAAGCACGCTCGTACTCATTAAATGGGTCCTAACTCGGATTTTTCCCAATAAACAAATTGTATTTTTGTACAGTCACTGAGAAAAATATTTCGTTTTCCATTTTAGGTCATTTTGATTATTTCATTTGCTGAATGTATTGCACTAGATTGTTTCCTGTTAGTAGAATTGACTTGTTTAGAGTATAAGTTACAAAAAGCAACAGTAGCGACAATATGAACCACTTTGAAAGAACCAATCATGCACGAAATGTTTATAAATATGAAATCGAATTGCTTTATTGAAATGAGTACTAATGTTCAACTAAAAATCGTTGTTTCTTTATTTTTTGTGTCAAAAATAGAAATTTTAATAATTACTATTGTCAACATACCCATCGATCAATAAATGAAATTTGACCGTATCTAATAAATCAACCCTTAATATGACCGATAACAGACTCGTGCAAAACTAACCATTAATAGCCAATTTGAAACAAAAAAGAAAATAGCAAATACTCAGAAGCCAGACATGTTCAATTTCAAATAATTACCTATGTTAAATTGCATTTTAATTATAAGTAAAATTTATTGGGAAAACATAACTCATTATCAAAATTTGTTGTGAATGTTTATAGATTATTCTAAAATTACTTTTTCATTATCGTTTAATAAGGAGCGACCGCTAATACCTGAGAACAATGAAATTATTCCTGAAAAATACATTGCATGTAGGTACTTATTATTTTGTAGAATATAAGGTGCAGGACTATCAATTATTATCTATAAGTTTATTATACTTATTATATTTCCACGCCAAAGTTAAATCAAAATATTTTCAATTTTATGTTAGGGCATGTTTGCTTCGTTTTTATTAAAGTCAAAATACTACATAAAAAAAATGTATATTTGAAAAATTATACAGCAGGTTAGAGCGGACCTTATTTTCTAAATTTATTCAAGTACATACCTAGATAAAATAAATTTGAAAAAAAAAATGTATATGTTTGAGCTATATTAGATAAATAATGAAACTCTTTGTATAATATAAAATATTTTATTGTAATACCTATAAATATAATCTTTAATAAATGTTCGATGTTAATATGGTAGACGATAAAGACAAAATTAATGAAGAAGAATAAAAGAAGCGTTTCCAACAAGACTTAAATTTAAATTATAATAACAATATATTTTAATTACTGAAAAAAAAAGTAGCCAGATGAATTATATTGAAATATTTTGATACTAAATTTCATAAAAATACTTGGTAATAATTATGTATCTACCTATTTGATTAAATTTTTTATTTTGGAGAATTCTTGTAGCGTACTTGTTAGAGGTTTGATTAATTGGGTAAAAGCAATTCTTTTAAAAAGATCCTAGTCATATCCAAGAAAATTGTGAGAAAAAAATAAATTTACTTAGCTAACGAAGCAAATGCGATGCTTCTTTAAAAAACACCTTTGAAATCCTAACAGTTATTTGAAATTCACGTAAGTTCCAATATTCACGAGAATCAAAATAAAAAACTCAACGATGAAATAATAAACTTTTTTATAATCGACTCATTAGTCGTCCTGTTTAACAAGTACACTGCCCTTAAATCTAAAAAAAAAAAATATATAAAAGAACTCTACTTAATTTATTATTGTAATGTGGTAAGTATATCTAAGTGTCTTATAAACACATGCATTATATACAAAATATTGTATATAAAGGTGGAGTCAGTGTACGCAATCTCCTTTCTTGTGAACTAAGTATACCTGTGTGTGTTAAACAAAGAAAAACTAGCGTCGTTTATATGGTAATAAAATAAATAATTGTTGTCTGTTTAAATAATAATATATATTTAAATTTTTCCTCTTTTACTTTTTGGTTGAAATTTAAAAAATTTCTATTTAATGTTATCTTCTATAAGGTTACTTCCTAATTTGGATCTACGTTTACATTTTCCTTAAAGTCTTGTATATGTGTAAGCCCAAAAAAAATCAAAAATTCCAAAAGTTGAGATATTATTTTTAACGATTGTGCGTAAAACGACTCATCTTTCCTGATACGTTAAAAAGAAGCTAGATTTGCTTAATATTTACCTATTTATGTTAACGTAACTTATATATTTTATCTGTTGTTGTTTAAAAAAAAAGGCGAATTTTAAGATGGATTTTAAAAATGATAGGTTTTTGTAATAAAATTCCAATAAAATAATTGCGTTTTATTTACATCCTAATTTTAACCAAAGTAGGAACTTGATCTAGAAAGTAAGCAGCAAATTGTTTACAGAAATTATCAAAATTTAAGGAATCAGAAACTTGAAGACTACACCTTGTCACTCGAGCGTTTATGAAATAATTGAATGATTCCATAAGCCCTAGAAAACAGTGTAATGCTGTTATGTAGTATCATGAAAGCTGGCATAAAGTTCTACTACACAACTGGTTTAATAGCCTATATTGCAGTAGTGTAACAACACGGGTTTCACTATAAAAATCCAACCATGACCTCAATCTTGCATTTCTGATACGAAGGTGAATGCGTCAAAAATAACGGCGCCATCTGTCGAGAGTGGCGTGAAGTTGTGCAATTAATCGACAAGAATGAGTTCAAAATTACAGGTTCTTGTCGTATGGAGTTTGCATGGAAGGGATTGTTTTATATGATGTCGTTTAGATGTCGATACCCATATTTAATTCTGGTTCGGGTTCTATATACTGTGATGACGTCATAGCGGCCTGGGTCACGTGGGTTATTTGGAAACTAATATGAATAAATTGGAAATTGGTAACGGGTCATCTTACATTAAATTACCTATTGAAATTTCAAAGAAACGTGCTTGCATCAACATTAGGAATTCTGATCAAGCTTGCTTCTATTGGTCTGTGGTATGTGGCCTCTTTCCTTCCTCTAAGAATAAGACACTAACATCATCATACCCATATTATAGGGCTGTTTTGAATACACAAAATCTACCTGCACCAATGACCCTCAATCACATTCGATCAATTGAAAATCTAATAATATTCCGAATACCGTTTACGGTTTGGAACTGAATGTGACCAATAATAAATAATTTTATACAGTAGCACCAGTTAAATTAACAAAACAAAAACCAGATAAACACGTCAATTTGCTAATTGTTCAAAACAAATATAATCCATAAGTAGACGATTTTAATGTTGAACCACCAGCAGAGCTACAAGCTGAAGAAGTTAGGTATTATTATTGCTATATTAACAACCTTTCTGGACTTGTATCCTCGCAGCTCAGTAAACTTAAACGTAAGAAATTTATTTGTGATAGGTGTTTAAATTATTTTGCGTCTGAACAGCACCTAATTGAACATGAAAATTTGTGCTCCAAATTAAATAATTTTAAGATCACTTTCCCTAAATATGAACATGTTGAATTTCAAAATTTTATTCACAAACAAGATACACCCTTTGTCATCTATGCTGATTTCGAAAGCATACTTCAAAATTTAAACATTGAAATTTCTGAAAAAACTCAGAAATATCAAAAACACGTTCCATTTGGTTGGATACTACCTCAAACGTGGATTATCAAGTTATAGACTCGTTATCGAGGTATAGACTGCATGCAATGGTTTGTTGAACATTTGTCTCAAATATCTGAATTTATTTATTCAAAATTCAAACATATTGTACCTCTTATTAAGGATGAAACTATTAGCTTGTCCAATGCATCGACACATTGTCATATTTGTGAGAAACCTTTTACAAATTCTAATAAGATTGTTCGTGATTATGATCATTTTACTGGGAAATTTCGCGATTTTGCACACCAATCCTGCAAACTAAACTATCACAAGCTCTTTATAGTTCCAGTAGGTTTCCATAATCTCTCCGGCTACGATAGTCATTTCGTGATCCGAGAGCTTGCTAAGCATGGTCGCGAGTTAACAAAGGAAAATACATTTTGAACAACTACAGGGAACCTGATAAGGGGTTGCATTTCAGATTTATTGATTCACTACGATTTTTGGGTGCCTCTTTGGAGGTACTTGTCTCCACGATGAACAAAAAGGACTTGCTGATATTGAAAAAAGAATTTTCAGATATGAAACCATCAAAATTTCAACTATTAGCACAGAAAGGTGTCTTTTGCTATGATTATATCAATGATTTGTCAATATTAAACGAAACTTTTCTACTATCCATCGATACATTCTACAAGTTAAATGATGAACATATACGCGTTGAAAAGTTCGCTCACGCCGAAAATGTCTGGCATTCGTTCAAAATTTAGGTGAATATTCAGATCTATATTTGAAAACTGACATTATACTTATGGCTGATGCTTTTTCATAAATTCAAAAAATCAATTTGCACCTGTAAAAAAAAATCGAAAGTTGGGTTATAATAGTTAAATGGTCGACATATGGGAAATCCTCTAATATATAAGTTATAGGAGCTCGGGTTAAAAATTGATCAATTTTCGTTGGGAGGCTATAACTTAAGAATTTTAAAGTCAGAACACGTTGTCCAACCTTGACCTTTGTTCAGATTACTTATTGATTATTATTGATAAAATTGGTAAAAAATAAGGCGATATTAAAAGTTATGCTAAGACAAATCCATAATAAGTTCGATAAATTAAAAGCTAATTTTTCACCATCGTGTCAGGAATACGAGATATTTTAAATGTGTATGAAAATCATATGAACAAATTATCTTAATTTTGTTAATAATCTATAAAACTAGTTTTATGAAAGAAAAGGTATTAAACATTATGAATGAAACCTAATACAAGCCTCCATTTCAACATAAGGTAGAGCACCGAAGCCATCCATCCTCAGTCACTTATCGAAGGAAACCGCACATGGAACTTGCGGATTCCAGCCAATCCAGGCAGAAAAGGGACTAGAATCGTCATCATATGTGGGGCACACGTATCGCCTTATAAGGGTCTTGATTTTTGTAGGGTACGAATCCCTTCAAAAGCTCTATGCGCACCA